AATTTGAATTTGATTGTAATTGCTTCTCAAATCTAGTTTGATGAAGTACTTTGCTATTTGAAGTTGATCAAACAAATCATCTATATGAGATAATGTATATTTTTTTTTCCACCGTTTGCTGATTCAACCCTTGGTAGTCGATGCATAGTTTCATGGATCCATACTTCTTTACAAAGAACACTGTAGCTCCATAAGGTGAAACACTTGATTAAATTAATCACTTGCTCAATATCTCATCCACTTGAGCTTTGCATTCTTCCAATTCGTTTGAAGCCAAATGATATGGAGCTTTGCAAGTTGATGTACTTCTAAATATCATCTTAATCTTGTGATGTACTCGTCTCTTTGTTGATAATTCTGCAGGAAGATCATCTGCAAAAATATCTTTTTACTCTATATAACTGTCATTCAAAGACTTCGGGATGTAAAGTTTGTTTGTGGACCCATTATATCTTATAAGTTCAAGGAAATATAAATCATCTTTAGAAATATATGTTTTATCGATCAGAAAGAGTGAAAATTTTCTATTCAAAGATCTAATTCTATCTCCATAGATTTTTCTATCACTAATTGTAATCACATTTCTTTCCAATCTAGGTCCGAATTATATTGCTGCATCCATGGCATTCAAAAGATGGTTTTGTATCGAGCTAAACAAATTACTCTACATTCAATGCTCTCCTTGTATCTACCTTTGGATAATCTTACACTCCGTGGTACTGTCTCTATTACTTTAGTTTGCCCATTTGACAACCCAACTTCCTGACTAACGTTATTCAACAACATTAAACTTAATTTCAAAGCAACACTCTTTAATAGAAAACTCTCAGTTGCTCCAATTTCAATTAGAACTCTCACATTGTGTTCTTACATCAAACCATCACTAACAATAAGTTGAGCTTGCTTATTACTCCTTCCAGGGACTCTTAACCATTGATTTCTTTCAACTTCGACTTTTCTTCGCTTTGTAGAACTAGTAAGGCCACAAGATGATCTTTGTTTCCCGAAACTTCTTTCTCAACCTTTTCATAGTCTATACTCTCCATGTTGTTGAATGTTCGTCGCTGTGTGCACCGTCTTCCTTGTGGTGCCGGTTGAATTTGGCAAAACTTAGCAATGTGATCCATTTGTCCACATGCATAGCATTGACGATTGTCACGAATTCATACTCCTTCTCAAACCATTCAGTTATTTGCATAAATTTCTTGCAATTTTGAAACTCCTAATCGCCAAAACTCACATCCAAATCTCGCGGTGATACTCTTGTTGATGCAATATCTTTTTTACGTCAAAGCTTTCCCAAATTCATCGGTGTTGGATTAGATGGATTTCAAAAATTGTTTACTCGTTCACCGTGTGTAATACCAAAAGTACCCAAAATTTGTTGAGCAATTGCGGTTGCTTCATTCACTGTGAATGTATTGTTTACCATCATCTACTTTCAAATTCAATATTTCAAACCTCGTTTCATCACGTTTAAGATTTCTGCTTCATTCATATCAATAATAGATATTTGAAAATCATGAAATTCTTCAATGTACTCATAAATAGCTTCTTTCTGCTTCAAATCCCACAACTAAATTTTTGTAGTTTGGAGAAAATCCACCGCTTGAAAATTTTGCAGAAGTTTTTCTTGCATTTCACTCCAGAAAATAGTAGCATATTGTTTTGAAAGTATTCTCTCCCATGTTGTGTATCATTTTAAAGCCTTATACATGAGATAAATCTCATGAACATTCCAGCAATATAATCAAAACATGAAAATGTGAAAAATGAATATTCACACTCATTATCCATCACTCTAACACTCTCATCGCTCTACTCCCTTTGTAAGTTTTCAAGATTTTTCCATTCGAAGCAAAAGATTTGCTTGATGCAACCGAGTCAAATAATAAACGTCTTCAATCTCTTGAAAATGTCTCTTATTTGACTCTGTTGCATCAATAAGAGTTAGTTCTCACTCAACATGAAAAGCTTGAAGTTAAGGTTCAACTTTCATCTCTCCAACTCTTTTTCTATACACTTTATCACTCTCCAATGCAAAGATTTTATCTTCCATGACTTGTTGTTTGGTATGCCCATCTACTACACTTACTCTAATACAAAGTGAGTGTAATCATTATCTGAACTCTCAAAATAGGAGCCACAAAAGGTATAGATGATTCTATTAGAGTTCTATAGTACTCTTTCCCATAATGTCTCACAAGAAAATCTCTCCATAATCTCTTTTGTCGATATATTATTCGAATAATGAATGTTGAACTGAACCGAGACGAGTGGTTTGCGATTCAAATCCATGAAAATTGAGTATATGGTATAATCCTAAAGTCTTTCTATAACTAACTATTGGAAGAATCAGTGACATTATTGAACCATCATTCTATTTATAAAATCAACACTCCAACAAGCCACAAGGTACATCCAGAAATGATGTTTCCATGTAACAATGTTGAATATTGAATAAGTTAGGAATTGACCAATGCGACATTAGATTCCTATCAAGACTTTTCATATCTGCAAAATCACAATTTTCCTCTTTCCCCTTCTCTCTACATGCATATCAATGACTTCTGCCAGCATTTATATACTCTCAAAACTACACTCCATAATCACTCATTTGCTATTTCATGAGGGGTAATCCACACTCAAGGAAGAGCAAGATTGCTCCAATACTATTGTAACATTAGGGTTTAGAGAGAAGTTTACTCAAAAATAGAAACGTAAACTCTAAAGATGAGATATATCAACAATGGTTCTCCTCTTCATTATATAGCTCTTTCCAACAAGTTGATTGAGATAAAATCTTATCTCCACTATCCATTTCATTCCTAGTGGATGGATGACGTGGCAGATAACCTTCACAAGTACACGGATTGCTGACTTGGCGCTCTTAACTAACACACTACCAAACACACTCAATACTTACATAACAAACACACGGATCGTAGACGTGGCGCTGTCAACTAACACAGCTACTCTCTATCTACCAAGTGCGAAGATCGTTGACGTGACAACTATGAATAATGCACGCTAAAGTATCTATATCAACATTTAGAGTAACCTCTATTTTAGTTTTAACTAACTAAAGATAGTTACAATTTATTGCTTTGATTGGCAATGGAAGCTAAAATATATGAACATTGTATATTTGGCAAGCATATAAGACTTGCATTTGACGTTAGATTACATAGTTCATTCTTGATTACATTCATTTTGATGTGTGAGAATTTTTCACTTTTACTTCATAATATGTTGTTGTATATTACATTAACTTTGAGGATGATTATTCAAAATTTGTGTGAATTTATTTCAAGCAACCAAATTTTGAGGTCTTTGAGAATTTCAAGAATTAAAATACCTTGGTATAGATCCAAACTGGAAAGAATGTGAAATATTTATGCTCAAAATACAACGGGAGTACAATTCAACGGAGTTTCAATTGTATTGCAAAAAATAGCGAGTTACTCTCCATCTCACCACATTGAATACTCAAAAGCATGGTTAGTTTGAAAAACTCAACTTACATTTATGAAGAACTCACAAAATATGTTGAGTTTTGCTAATTTAGCAAGTAAGCTTTACATTATAATTTCTATGTATGATTTTACCATAGTGATTCCTCATGACAAGTTTTCAAAACTCCAAGCAACTCTCCAAATTTTGAATCAATAAGTTAGATTACATGATAATTTCTAAGTATGTAATTTCTCTTTGAAAATATTATATAAAATTTCCAAAAAAATATTATAAATTTTCAGATAAACATTGATTTTTTTATAGACCCAGATTAATTTGATTCTATATAAACATACATACTAGTTCATAACACACATGTAACAATGTCAAATTTGTAGTGAACCAATGGGCATAGTAAGGGTATCAATGTGCATCTTTTATCATGCTAGTGATACAAAACATTATAATGTTGGTAATTTTTTATTGGTGCAGATATTATGTTTTAAGAATGATTATTACCACAACCTCAATTGTCCTTAACAATTTGATTCCAAAGAAGTAATCTTCACATTGTGGGAGGATGTATCAGATATTCTTTTTAGTTGGGACACTGATACAACACCATCCCGCCGATGTCTCATCAAGAGAAAAAAGATAGGGTTTTCCAGTAATATCTAACGTGTAGAACACTCCAGTCAGTAAGAGATAAGAGGACATAGAGAAGAGAATAAAGAGAGGCAGCTATTCTTAGTAGCTGAAGGAGAGAAGTGAATTCGGAAGGACAAGAAGTAGATGGAGACAGAGTACATTAACAGGGAGGAAACGAATCTGAACCAATCTCTCATAGGGGTTTTAAGTGGTACTCGAGTTTTGCTTTGGCTGAGAACAGTAGAACAGATTCCTCTGTTCTCGTCCGAAGCAAAACTCGAGATCAAGATCATTTGCTTGTGTCGTGACAAGTGCTGGAGTCGGAGTTCTGTCATAGTTACCAGAAGCTGAGTAGTTAAGAAATTACCCTGTGATTGCACGAGTGGATTAGGATTTTAAGTAGTAAGGTCACCAGATAGGATGTTTGGTGCACAAGAAGAGATTCCTGGATTATTTGTTGGCAACCATAGAACGTGACAGTATTTTGCTTCTACGTTGAAATAAAACACAGAGTTGATGATCGTTCGAGCCTCCACACAGTGCTCGAGACAGTTTCATTATTCGACCATATTAGAAATAATAGAGTCAAATTTTCTGAATGCCACTCTGTCACGGTGTATGATACACATTTCAGAATTTCAATGTATGGTTAGTGGCTAGTTCTCTCGGTGCCAGACTATGTGTCCAATACTCTAAAGATGCGCTCTCACAAAGTGTTATATCACGCAGCTGAACGCGATCGTCGGTGGAAGTGCCATAGAGTCGAAGGAAAGCTATGCCACTGAAGCTTTGAACGTATGGCTCCATCCAAAAATCACCCACTGAATCACGGCAGGCACGGCGGGAGACTTGACGATTGGATGTTCTTCAGATTGTCTAAACGTTCCGTGAAACCCGACGTGGCCATGCACGAAGCTAGAACTGAAGCTGCTGTCACAAACACAGTTGAACCTCATTCCACAACTTCAGGTCTTGGGATTGAAACATACGAGATCCACTGTGTTTCTCCAAATATCTCACCGCAGAGGGTAGATGATACATTGATTGATATAGCATACACCTTGCCTTCCCTGGCACCTGATCTATCTCTACATGATTCAGGGAGGCAGAATGACGATTAAAGATACAATTACACTTGAGCGCAGATGTTGAGTAGCAGCAGCATCCCCTTTCACCGAGAACCAACCTTGCCCTGCTCTACATACCATAATTGCCAATCATGTGCTAAATGTTTTACAACTCCACATGCGCGTAGATTTCATGCATGAATTTTCAGAGCGTGAGCTTCAGGAACTGAACCAAGAGATATATCAAGGCGATCACGAAGCCCACTTGATAGATGTCCTTCTGTGGATTATCGTCGACTTGGAAAAACTGCAACGCACGAGACAACGACAAACTTGTCAGGACACCATCAGCGAGTTCATGCGAGAAATGTTACTGAGATCTGCGTACCCTTAGATGAGAGACATAAGCACCCCCGGCGACATGCCTGGACTCAGCATCTCTTCAAACAAGACATCGACGAGAATAAAGCCCAGGATAGAAAAGATCCAATAAGTTGGATCGAGAGAGGAGAGAAGAGTCTGAAAGTAGTGGAGCAGTGGGAGGGCTCGCGGCCCACAGAAGGGTCACAGACACACACAGCAGAGCAGGAGAACAGAAGATCTTCAGTTTGGATGACTGCTACCTTTCGGGGGTCCGTTGGGTCGGAATAAATATTGGAGTTGTCCTCCTTCTTGTCCATCATTTTGCTCAGGTTACTGACAGACTCGCCGAAGTCTTTGCCGGACTCAGCAGCCAAGTAGGCTAATTTGGTGGCGTAGAAATACGCTAGAGTTATGGGGGACGAGCCTGACAGGTCCCACTCGTCGACCTGGTCCGTCACTTGGCCACTGATTTGGTTAAGCGTGAAGTAAGAGGTCACATTCAACACCAGCTCTCCGCCGACGACCGAAGCCGGAGGTAACTTAGGGGTTCCCCGAAGTGTCCACTTGATGTTCAACATACTCGTCGAGACCATCTGCATCTGCTGAACCGCCTGAGGCAAATTGCACCATATGGTGTCTCAAACACAGCGCACAGTTTCCAAGCAAGCTCTGGTTGCCAACGTCACTGCATGCCCCACCCGCCCACAGTGGTCTGCACTTTTGAGACAAACCACCCTATGCACATGTCCCGCTACGTTGCCAGTCTCTATGAGACTCGCACTCGCTCTACGTACTCTCGAAATCTTCTAATTGCAATCCACGGCACAAATACGGAATATACAGCTCCATGAATCAAGACCAGACAATGCATAAATCCCACGAAAATCCCAGCTTGGGGTAAACTTGGGCACTGTGAGGAGCCGTGAACAAAGAGGAAGAGAAGAGAGCGGAGTGAACAAGATCCGGAAGAGGAGTGGAGTGAGTGACGAGGGCTGGCTCTGTGCTCGTGAGTTCACGAGATTCCCTCTTGTGGTACACTTTGGCACGGTGCCAGATTCATTTGGGGAGGAGAAAAATGATCCGAGGAAGAAGCACGAGCAAGAGAAAGGTGTAGAAGGTATAATTTTCTCTATCTATCTAGAAGTCCACGAGATTCGGGCTTCGACGTTCTTACATTTTGACGCTTGAGCGTGGTGGGGGGAACAAATTTTTAAGACGCTTACCACAGTAGGATTGTTGAGAGTCGCTTTGATCCACGAAGGCCTTTTGAACTTGTCGCGACCTTTGAAAGATCTCAGAGGGTCCTGCAAGTCCCACAAATAACCCACCGGAACGAACCAGAAGAAACATTATCAGCGGTCCCAATCAACAGGCGGTACAGATCTAGAAAACGAAACACACCGAGCTCCCAGATAGTTCTCCTCGGCATCCCAATTCTTAAATCCACAGATACGAGACGGAATCTGAAGCTGCGAATTCAACAAGATGAAGGCCCTCTCGTCTCACAGCAATGCCTGGAGCACTAAATCCGAAAAAATGCAACAGGACATGACGTTCGAGCAGTATCATTTCAGAGCTGCTTTTTCACACTCTCTGTTTGCTTGTGGGCTCTTGCCGAGGGCTACCAAACGTAAACCCATCCTCGTGGCCCTCGACGATGGCTACGAGCTGTTATTCCTTCACAGCGATCCCCTCGGAGACAGGATGGCTCAGAGCTGCGCACCTTGTAGTTCACGAACACGGCGTACGTCGACAGAGTGCGCTTGTCCTCGCGGAGCTCGAGGAGGTCTCGGGCCAACTGGCGCGCGGTTTTCTCCACGGCGGGGCTGCTGATGCACTCGAACTCGTCGCAGAGCTCGCTGAACGTCATCCCGTCCACCAGCGCGTCCGCTTCGGACTTGCGCTCCTCGTTCTTCTTATCGACGACACTCGTCGAGGTCCCGCTGGGCCCCGAGCTTCCGGACCCCTCTGCCCTCACGCTCACCACGGCCTGGCCTGTCACGCGCCAATTCCACTTCCCACCATCGTCAGCGTCGACGCATGCGGGCATTGCGGAGCTCGAATCAAGCTATCGGCAGGAATTAAACATCCGAAGCTCAACTCCGCTCGGCTCGGCTCACAAATGGATGTTCAATTTTAGAAGTGAAATTCGTTGGAGGTTGGAAGTGGTTACTATGTTACCGATGGCATGATTTGATTGAGTAATCCATCGCGTTCTTGAAATTCTCTTTGACCGGACTGGAATGACAGGAATTACATTGCAGTGTCCAGGAATTTACCAATTTTGTTGAGGCCAGGTGCTGTTGATCGAGGGAGATTCTTCCATCCAGACAATTGCCCTACGCCGAGCCCGGCGAGCCCGCTCCTACCGACGACGACACATTTGTCCGAGACCGAGAGCGCCCTGCAAGTCGGATCGATCAAGGTCGAAATGCACAATCCTCCGGCCATGCACGTTGGCATGTTCACTCGCTGCTCAACGAGCTGCAGACGATGAGCGAGTCAGCCCTGCCCTGTCCTTCCCTTCCCTTCCCTTCTCCTATGCCCTTCCGAATTATCCTGATTCCTGCCCTGGACTTCTACTCGATCCGCGCACTAAAACCTTACAAAACCTCGCCGCTTGACTTCCACAGCGCACGGGATCATTCCACGCGAGATCACCTGAGAGGAGAGCCAAAATGCCAATTGCACAGATTTAACGACAGAATTGGAGCTGCGATTTAAACAAAGGCAAATGATCTTACCATACATACACACACACAGGGGTCGTGGAGGAACACGATTCCGGAAGAGATGATCCGAGCCCGATGTTTCAGGGGAAGCTTAGGACCCCAAAGTGAGGAGCAATCCTCCTACTCGACCGGCATGGTTGACTGGCGGCCGAAAAATTCGCTTCGGGATTCAAACCAAACCGAGGCTAATCCCGAACATCGGAGGCCGCAAATCTATCATCATTCGAAACTCGAGATACACGCGCGAAGGCGAACGTAGAGGGAACCGAGAGACAGAGAGACATTCTCATCACCCACCTGACGAACCTCCTAGCGAGCCATGGACGAGGCGGATCGAGTACGAGGGTGAGGGCGAGACTCGCAGACGGCAAGGAGGAAGAGGCACTGCTCGCGGCCGGAGGAAGGAGGCGCAGACATCGAAACCGGTCGGCCGATGGACGTTGGGACCCGAGGCGAGGGACGTGGGGCGAAGCAGAAAGAGCGACGCGACCTGTCACCGGCGATTTCGTCGTGTCGAGCGGTCATCCATGCCAAGTCACAAGCGACAAGCTGCGACCTCCGTCCTTCAGGGATGGATAGCGTTCGTCCACGTGGTCGACTGCGGTTCGCCACGTGAATGCTGGCAAGATATTCTCCTTCACAAGTCGACTCTCCAATTCCATTCCGTTCCCGGTTTGTGGATTCTCGAGCTCGTCGCCGGGATCGTGCCCGCGGTGGGGCCCGCCCGGCGCAGCCCGCGATCCGACTCGGCAGAATCATGACGACGGCCGAAGGCCTTCAGATCGTCTGCATCGGAGGGAGGGTCGGAGGCAGGCCCGGGGAACCTCCGAAGGCAGGCAGGCAGGGGCGACGTCGAGGACGACGAGTTAGGCACGAGATAGGAGTCACTGCTTTTCGAGAGCTTTCTCGATCCACTGTTTCCTCGTACTACCTGTACTTTTTTGTCCGTAGAGATCTGGGTACAGCTCTCAGAGCCTCTGGGCTTATCTGAATCTTGGTTCATTTGTTCGTACGTGGAGGTGGTGACAGAAGTCGTTCTCGTTGCCACAGCGCTGATTGAGTTTTAGTCTGATCTGATCTGATCTGTTTCTCCAGAAGCAGAAGCTGTTGATTCGAGGATTTCGGAGCCCAGATAGTCGTCCAGCCCGCAGACAAGGTGGGACAGGTAGACGAGCTGCTGGAGTTTCTCGCGATGTGAAGAATGTCGTAGTTATAGGGCGAGGGAATTTTCACGATCGTTGTTTCGAAAGAAGCCAACAATGGATTCGAGGCTCTTCAGTGCGAATCCCATCGAGCCAGGTTAATAGCACTTCGTGTTCATCCAGTGGGGTTTGCCTCGTGGCAAATAAGGCATCCCCACTCGCTGCCCTTCTCTCGAGGCAATCCTCATTTCTGGTGCTTGCACCGTGAAAGCACAAACCCTCGCGCGTGTTTGCTTAATCTTCAACGGGTTTGCAGACGACTTCCTTCTCGACCTCGCAACCGCTCGTCCACACATCCAGAACACATTCAGACCACGTCCTGAGGGTAAAGTTATTGCAGAAGTGGTAAATTCTCGCTCGATGATCATGATCAGGTCCAGCGATGATCGCTCTACTATACTGCTTAACTCCAAGTATTACCAGGCTCATAACGCTACAGGATGTGACACAACCCGAAAGGGATGGAATTCATAATTCACGTGACCTTGGTCTATTCTCTCCACAGCCCCACTCTCATGAGTGGAAGGCTGACTACTGCAGAGTTCTATACTACAGTGTCTATCTTCAAATAGAAAATTTCCGTTATCTGTAGCTCATCCCGGTACTTCAAACACGGAGTAAAACCATCTAAGAGCATTCGTTGTGCACGTGTACAGTAAAAACCGCTAGTAATCTATCCGCTGGACTAGCGTTCTTCGAGTGAAATCTGAGGTGAAGTTGCTTCTACAAACTTCCCAGAGAAACACAATACCAAGTTCAGTTAAACGTTAGAGGTCTACAAATTTGGAAACAATTCATAGGAGGAAGGATGGAGTCTATTAACGACGTGTTGCAATTATGAGGAGTACATTGTACTTGAGCTTGAAGGAAAATCCATGAGCTGCTCCTCTGGCTCACAGTCGGTCAATTACTGACAGGTGGGTTCGAACATCCAAAACTGGAGGCGGGAGACTTCCCCTGACTACAACACGTTGGTAATTGCTTCCCTTCTTAAACTCAATGGTTTAGCTTTACGCATAATTTCTAAAATTGCACCTATACTAGAAATTACGCTTGTCTACTCTCACTAACATTTTGGAATACCTTGGGAGTAGCTGCCCTTGTTGCGCTCATAGGTTCTCCGTTACGTATAACCTTAATATATGTAACAATTCAATAGATTTTAATTTATCTCCTCATGCCGGCTGCATTACCTTGGGAGTAGCTTACTTATTGCTCTAACAGGTTTTCATATATGCATAATTTTTATGAATGCAACTATCCTAGGAACTTCATGCATCTACTCTCCCTACCTGCAAAACCTTGGAATTACTTGTCCCGGGAACCAATGAATACAGCAAGAAGGACGAGAAGACCCAAAAAGCAGTACATGGTTGAAACCAACTGGTAAGATGGAGCTAGTTCCAGAAAAATCACAATGAAGTTATGTACTACTGTATCCAATTCAAGACCTAGTCCTCCCTTATTTTCTTTAGCAGGTATTTCTGACGTATAATGTGGATTCTGCAATGATACAGAGTTCAAAATTTATTCACAAACTTGGAAGTCAAACCTTATCTATCTTAAGTTCCACTTAAAAGGGGTTAGTCACGCACACAAGTCGTACAGGAGTTAAGCCTGAACCAAGATTTTGTCGAATTACACTTTACAGTACATGAAAACTATTTTCGTTAGTGACCTCGGGTCAGGTTCGAAGTAACCAAATCTGATAAATAGAAGTTAGACCTTGCAGTGAATGAAATATTCCGCTTAGACCGGTTGCACTCGGAGAGAGTCTACTGTACTCACTCAAGTAACCGTTATGTCAAACATTCACGTGCAGAGGCGAGAATCCGAAAGAAACCTACTTCAAATGGAGCCCTCCATGTGCGGAGCGTTATATGCAAACCAACAACAAGGAGTCACGCCAGGATTTAGCTCGAAGGTTCCCACGGTGAGTGACTTCACGTTTTGATTGCACAGTAGTCAGAAGTACACTTGAAGGGCCAACGTATGTCGGTAGGGAGTGGTCATTCGAATGTACAATGCTGGACAAGGAAAGACCTTCTAACAAAATAAGTACGTCGTACACAACCTTTCATAAAGTATTTTACTGCCATTCGACGTCCACGCTGAACGATAGGCTCACAAACATATGCTGACCATTTTGTAAACCACTTACATCACATACTACACGATTTACTTAATTTCTTTGCGCAACAAAGTATAGTTCATGACAAATCCGTTTCGCAAATACATCAATGTCATGATTCCAAAGATGCACACCCTGTAGGGCCTTAAAAGTTCGTGGCGGAGTTCAAGTTCAAGGCTTTCTCGCCCCGACGTCCACATTTGTTCGTTCTTTCAATATCTTGGTCAAGGCTTGTCCAAAACATTCGAAGTACATACAACATCCTATACTGAAGATTCACCAACCGAGGTCACAGACAGCTGAACAAGTCCACTCGACAACGAAACTAAAATACGATCCCTGTATTACAAACTTGCTGACAACGAACAGAAACTGCGAGAGCGACGATTTCAATCATGTGCTCACCGTGTTCGTGAAACGTCCACAGAACTCGAATTCAAAGCGAACGACTTCGAACACTAAGAGTTTATATCACTGACTTGAACACCATTCATAACTTACGGGCCAAGGTAACACAAGAAGTAGAGAGAGCGTTCCAAAATCCCTCCGCTTGTATATAACAAACTCAATGGCTCATGACCTTGTTCTCAATAGTCTCAAAGACCATAACTCATATCCACAATACTGAAGGAAGTAAGATGTTTAGTCTCACAAACATTTACCAAAATTCGCCAAAATCATTTTTCCAGAGGGCATCCAGATACTGCAGTTATTTGTCAACCCTTATCACTAACCAAAAGCGGGTTGATGCAATAGCTAAGATGACACCCCTCGAACTAATCTAGTTGGTGTTAGCATTCACAACAGTCTCATCAAATATGTATACGGTGGTAAACTTTCTAGTACGAACATGTGGTATTTACTAGGCTCAAGCCAGACCACAACGGGAATATGTGGAATTATGAGAATGGAATCTGACATCGATGGATGAGCTCAGGGGGGAACTGCACATCAGCAGGTGCTGTTTCGCAGTAACTACTTCTCGGAAGGTTCATTGCCTTCCCCTTCTAGATATTCTCAGCTTAACATCCAGTAGTTGGAGTTGTCTCCACATGCACTGTCGATGAGGTCTGACGAAATGTCTAAACCCATGTCATTTGACTATAAAAATGTCTGTAGGTGGTTTTTTCATCCTTTGAAACTATCTGTCACGTCTTTGCATACGGCCTGTTCCAGAAACGAATAGTCACAAATCAGGCCTTAAGCAGATCGAGGGAGGCTATGGATGCAAATCTAGCCATTGATCTCGTGGCTCGTAACTGGCTAGACTTTCTTGAAGAGCCGTCTCAATCCCTCCACTCCATCGACTTGACTCGCCATGCTAACCCTATACTGAGTGAACTCTGCTTTACTTTCAGCAAACATATCCCGAAAACTGAAATTGCCAGCTTCAATTCGGGATCAGCGATGATAGCCCACGAAAGCTCCAAGCCCTACCAGGAACGGGCCAGGTCATGAAACTCATGGTAATATGTTGGAACCATACCTGGGAATAATGCCCCCAAGCACGGTAGTGGTGAGAGATCTTTGTAAATTTGGACTTGATCTGTTGCTGGTAGGATTCGCATCACCAGGACTTCCGGTTTGAATCAGTAACTTTTCAGAAAAATGTTGCAGTTCCTGCGGGTTCAAAAACCGTTGCCTTGTTAGTTAGTACGCCAATCGAATTGAGATGTCTTCGCTGAGCCTACGAGGGTTTTTTATAGGTCCTTATCTCGTCTCATGCGCCTGCATTTCCCTGTATATTGTCCTCAAAATTGTTACTCATGTGAACCATGTGAACTAAGTAGAGCACAGCACCGGACTTACCTTTAGACCTGACGAAGCAGCGAAAGAGGAAGATGTGGAGCGCTCCAACCTTGTCCTGGAATACGCATGGAAACCCTGTACATGGCAACGAAGACATAAGTCTCGTTGAAATTCTACAAAGAACTGACTTTGTTCCGTTAACCTCGTCAGGCTAATGGCAGTCAGAAATGCAATTGGTCCTTTCATATCGATTGCTCTGCTGTAAAGGACAGACGAAACCATTGGATGGAGTACTGGTTTACCACTTGCTTCGGTGGCAAATAGTCACACTTCAAACCCAAAGAAACGTTTGAACTGTGACCCACCTGCAAAAGCTCGGGCTGTCCACCGCCTTCCAACCCTTGCAACACAAATCGACACAATAGAACGATTCCCTGATTTGTGAAGTCCTGCGAAACATGAAAAGCACTTTCAGACATTTTTTAAGGGGAAGAGCAGAGATAATTGTCATAAATAAGGAAGTAGACTCCTTAAGACACATAACTGAACACATACAGCGATGCAAGAACATGGCACATAACTTGGGATAAGTATATGAAATCCAATCTCTCCAAAGTGAAATTTTTCTCATCGCAAAAAATGCTTCAAGCAAAAACAATAATGTATGACATTTCAGCTCTGCTAGCCAAGGAGATTAAGAAATAAATAGTCACTGCGGAGTCACTACAGCCGATGATAGCAGAGATAAAATCACTTCGAATACAGTGAATCAAGTAATGACCGGGACCCGCAAGATATTTTGACAGCCACAAGATTTGATCAACAGCACTCACGTACCTGCTTCCCTTGAACTTCATCAATTTTTCCCTCCTGCTCAAGGAAAGAACAGAAGTGAAGGCAAACGATATTAGCGAAGCTCTTCATAGGCAAGGTAGATGCTGCCTTACAAAAAGTCTTGACAACAGAAAAAGACAGGCAACGGTTCCAAACGTACCAGCAGCGTGACTCTATAAACAAATGTAAAAAGAAGCAACGCAAAACATTGGAATATGACATCTTACACTAGAAACATTCAACCAGTTCGAAGTCGGGTAGATAGAATTGTTTTTCATATGAAACCGGAAAAAACAAACAAAACACAAAAAAGATTTAAGACACTCACCAATCCCTCAATCTGCCGCTGAACTTCTCTCATTTCCAAACCGACCTGGGCTACATCTCCTCGAACCTGACCGACCTGAGGAACAAGCAAATGCATTAGTTACAATGTTCTGATACCTGGCTTTTAACTACAACATACTCTACGTGTAAGTTCCAGGTCACAGAACAAGGTAATGTGAAAAAACCGACATGCTAAATATAAATAGCAGCCACTTTTCTTATGTATGACTGTCATACATATCTATATTTATGTACATGACAGCAACTTTTCGTACCCGTTTCCGTCGAGTGATTCTTTCTATTTTAATTGATTCACGTTGTAAACGTTCTCTTCGTTATTAAATGCTTCAAAGCTATTTCGGGACCCTTATGCACTTAAACTCAAATTTAGTCTATCTCTTAGTTTCTGCACAGCAAGTCTTCGATTTATTCCGATATAGCGTGTGGAAATGAGAGCAGAAATAAGAATAGACCTAGCCCGAAGGAATATAAACCTTCGATTTACCACTGCAGTTGGTTACATATTGAGGATGAGATATACTGACACAAGAAGGAAATTGAGTACACAGCCAACGTAGAAACTTGCGAAGAAGAGGCGAGGACCCTGCCTGTGCTACTCTGCGCATTGTGTATGGGAAAATGGTACAAGCAGCTAATAGCTTACCTGTGCTTGGATGGCGTGCGTTAGTGCTGTATTGTGTTCTAGACTCTTTGATACATTGTCCAGCCGCAAAGTAAGTTGTCGCTTTGTGGCCTGCAAGATCACGTGATAATCAGAGCCCCGCGAAAGCTCAGGTGACTACAATTTTTTGTATCAAAAACATGCACACCAAACTCAGAACTCAGATAATTCGCCAAGGTAATGCACATTCCTAGCGCATGATTGCAGCTACACTTTTCTCGGCACCTCCGCGCATAATCATACAAGAAGAAGATGAAAGTTGATAAGAGGAAAGACAATTTTAAACAAAAAACAGGACAACGTGCAAATCAGAAACACAACTCACCACAAGAGCTGCAGAAAAAGTCTCCAGCTGCTTGGACATGCTTGCGACCGCGTTCGACATATTGCGTCTCGTGACATACATAACATCAGAAAACGACCATCCCTGCACAAATTAGAGTCCAACGTCGGCCATTCAGCGTTGAATTCACGTCGTTCACTGTGCCTACAACGATGAGATCTGTAATTGTCCGAAATTGGAGAAGTTCAGAAAAAATACGGTTGGAGTTTTGAAGATAGCTTGAAATGACGACAGGACAAAAACCCGAAAACGAACCAGGGCAATTTTCTTAAGGTTAAAGACGTTCCCAATAGGACTCACCTTCAACCACATGTAGCCGTACCCAGCTACACCGAGAACCGCAGCAGGCACTATAAGGGAGCCAAGATTGCCTGCTTAAAGCCAAAGACCATCAGTCACCACTGTCAACAATGAGTATATATATCTCTTCTCAAAAATTCCTCTACACATGGGCTTTCCAGCTTAAATCCTATTACATTTACCACATCGAAGCAAGAATCCGCTCCAAGTACGCGATTTTCTAATGCACCAGCTAGTAAGACGTTGGTTAGCGCTGTTGAGCCTAACCTCCTGAACTGGGGCTTCCGTTGACAACAGTGATTGGCCGATTAGAAGCCGCGAGCTGCCTTAATTCCATAGTAAGGCGGCGAACCTGAGGAAAGAGGGTGCACGAGGGAACAAAATTAGACATTATGTCAATACTACACTTAACCGGAAACTCAGGCGTCACCGTCCGTGACGAAATTAACAAAACCATATTGCTGGTTGAATTCTCCGTTGTATAAGCAGACGACTGCGGAACTGAGAGCCAAATTGACATGAGCTCACTGATGGATATTCCCAAGTCGATAAAAGCTCATCGTTACAGTCGCTACATGTTTCTTAGTATAAACTCGAACTTACTTGAGCCGTAAGAGCTTCTGTGCTGTCACCTCCACTGCCTGATGGACGATCCCCATCTTCTTGTAAGTGCTTGGACAATACCTGCTTACCCATTAGAACATGTTACTACGATGCACAACAGCTGGCTGGAAATTGAAGTTCTTTGATACTTTTGGACTATAAGAGGACGCAAATGTTCAAATCTCAGAGACCCGCTCAGCGTTATGGATTCCTTTAGCTGCATATACTACTGTCCTAATGGCGGGACATAATCGTACCCTTGAAAGATCCGCCAAAATATCTGAGATTTTGCTGTTCCTCAAAACTATGGAGCCTCCAACACCTGACACCCGCAAGCCACAAGCCAGGACCTCGTTAGGGCTGATAACATTACAAACCAACTGCCAATTGTGCATCGACGGTGAGATCTGCGCCACTAGTTCCAGCTTAAGAAAAACCCTAGAAATTCAGCCACTGATCCGACCGCCAGGAGCCCGTGCTCCGGAGTTCTGACCTGAAACCCTGAGATTCTCAGACCGCCAATTCCTAGTTCGATCATCCACCCTAACAGCAAAAGTCCGCTATCCCAACTGTCACTTAGTCTCCAGAGAACAGTCGGAGGGACCTCACAGCAAGCAATCCAGCGACAGAATTTGCGATTCGTACTACCCTAAACCTGAACAATCGATACGTCGAGACTCACCAGCACCAACGAGGATCAAGACCTTGCTCGCCCCCATCCCTGCCTGCATGGCCATAATCGGAAGGCGGCAAGCTTAAGTCCTTGCCTTCACTCAGTCAGCCACTAAATCTTCATCCCGAGAACACCTTCTTCTCTGTCAAGAGGTTTATCGGTCGCAAGAAGGCCAAAGTCGACGATGAATCTAAGCAGGTCTCTTACACTGTCATTGAAGACGACAATCGAAGGCCAAACTCAACTGCCCTGCCATCGGAAAGACGTTCGCAGCTGAGAAGATATCGGCACACGCGCATCAATCGTCCAACATGATCACATCTGTTGCGTCACACGGAATCCAGCCCCGGTGCAATCTTCTACCCTGTTGCCTAGCAATGGTCTCCTCCTCCTCCTCCTCTGGCTGCAGACTGAATCGTTCACTTTTAGTTTCATGCGCATGGTAGAAACGCTAGCCCTGTAGAACCAGTACTCTCGCCCTCCGCATTCACGCGAGCACGGCACCACCAGCGACAGCAGCGGGACACTCCGCAAGAGAAAAAAGCTGAGGCTGCCTCTGAGCCACCACCAGACCCCACGCACGCATTCGCTCCTCTGAGCTTCTCTTGCACCAACCTCAGCCTCGATTTCCTCTCCTCCCTTCCCTCCCTCCCTCCTTTCCTTCCTTCCTCCCCTCCCTCCATACTCGTCCGAGGCCTACGTAGCTTCCTCCCCTGCCTTCCAGCTGCTGCCCCCCGGTCACCTCCCATCGGTCACTCCTGGCAGCCGGTTCTCGGCCTTTTCTCGGCCCGTTTCGCCAAAAATACCCGGCGCTAACTCGTCGCCCCGGCCTTCGACGAAGTTCGTTGAGCTCAAGTTGACGAGGAGGTGGACGAATTTAGCGAGTTCGGTGTTTTGGCGGTGGGGTCGTCATCATTTCGGGCTCACCGGCATCGTCCGAGGTTTCGAGGCCCGGTCGCCCGGCCCGATCACTGCTGCTCTGGTATCCCCTCTTGCGTCTAGCGCCTAGCGTCGCTTTACTGTGGGTCCTCTTCTGGGGTCGTGCTTCTGGAAGTCCATGCTCGGGACTTGGAGACCGGAGGCTGCTCCGGCTAAAACCCGAAGGTTACTTGTTCCAAGGATTCGACGCTCGGCGACGTTGTCCTTTGCATGATCGTTTGGTGTCCGGCCTCCGGACCCCAGCGGAAAGTCAGATCTCCGTCGCTCGTGCGCGTGCGGGTCTTCCCTTCCGGTAACCGGGTCGATGCTACGCTTCAATGTACTGCATGGCCTTTTTCCAAGGCAGGGCGCGGGGGCGCGAACCAGGACGGCGGCTAACCGCAGTTATAACGAGTTATAAACCGACGTTACCACCCTCTCGTGGAAGCCAATCACCGAGCACCAGGTGTCATCTGGTTTAATCACTGCTCATATGATCACCGGAGCCTTTTACCCTCTACAACGCCGTGCGTTCGATACTGCGATGGGCGGCGACGATCACAGTAGCGACGTTGTTGTATCGAGCTCCAACCACGTGAGACCCCACTTTCGACATTTATCGCTCCAGCCGACTACGTTTCCCACACAATCAGAAATCTAACCAGATATCAAGCAACTGCGGTCAACAATGTCCGAGTCATATCCGGGGATCCGGTCGCTGCCTTTATTCCAGCCACACAGACTTGTATAGCGTGGAAGATGTAACCCATATCACCGCATATACTGTGTAATGAATGACACACCGAGTCTTGGAGACTTGGTTTGGATATGCTGGGGTATATCTTCTGCTTTTTCTTGCCCCTCCCAGAGCTGAAAAGTAGTCTCTCACTTGTGGCAACGTGGTAGAGAGGATTCCAAGTGAAAGAGCTCTACCACGTTTTCTCTAAACCTCGTGCTTGGAAGCTAATTCCTATGAGCCAAAGGTCCCCGGCATTATATACTATGCCAAAGGCATTTTATTTTCTGCTTGAGGTTCTTATCGAGGGACGCTTATATACACTTTGTCGTTCTGACGCTTTAGAAAGAACCAATATTGCTTCCTCGTGCCTCGGGCTTGGGGTTACGAGCTTCTGCTGAAATGTTTGTTATCGGGCAATAGCGTATTTGAAGCAAAAGTCTCTTGACCTCTTCTCTCATCAGTTCATTAACTTGGAGATCAGGCAGCAAGGTTGTTTTCATTTATGTCACTAAACACGCACAGTGTCCACCTCAGGTTTCACATCGTGGCACCCACATTGCTCGGTCGCTGGGCCTCAATCGCAGCCCCTCCAAATTCTAATAAGCACCTGTGTTTTTGGCTTGCATTCTCCTTTGCTCCATGACAAAATAGTGTTCTGGAAGCAAATCATTGTCCCGATCGAATATAATCAATCCACAACATGGCGTTTGTCATGCTAAGCATCATGTTTGTTCCAGATCAGCGAACATATCGACGAAGTCCAACTTTTGACAATATTAGGACTTCCTGCAAGCTACAATAACTACATTAGTGGCATCATCACAAAGGTTAATTCTTAATATCCTAACCATTGTTTATATAATAAGGTAAAATTGATTCTTTACTAGAACAATTTACACTCTCTCTCTATATAGTCTAATTGTAAAAACATTAGAAATCATTTTTTATCATATTCATGAAGGTATTATATTTACAAATCAAATAAATAAATAAATATACACACAGTGTTTGTTCTTCTAGCATTGTTAACATTATAAAAACTTGAAATCATAATTTTAATCAAATTGTGTTGAAATATTTTTTTATTCATACAAGTGAAATAGATATAATACTTTTTTAATTTACTTAATAGAATGGAATATTACTTTAAGATTTTGGAAAAATATACCAACAAATTTTTCACATACGTAGAAGTATATTTAAGGCTCCTCGCACTGAAAAAGGAAAATCTTCAATCACTGATGTCGTTGAGGTGGCAGTTTGATTGTTATATCATTAAAGATCTGTCACAAGAAGGAGCAACAGTGCATCAAGAACATGAGCAAGTTATCGTTGATGAGTCTATTGCAATATTTTCAGACGATAAAGATCAACCGGAAACGTTTATTAAGGAGATTGCATCGTGCTAGTAAGGCTCATGATAGATTTGGTGTATGAGTAGATTCATATATTTTCAAAAATCGTGACTTTGATGTCAAAGATGAGAATGATATGACGTTGATTTTGGAAGAAGTTGAACCTTCTTCATATAGGGAAGGTCAAGCTTTGATTAACAAGCTTGAATAAAATGTTGCTATGGAGCGGGAGATACAATTCGTGATTGACAAGACTTGAGATCTAGTTGAGCTTCCTACGGATTAATTCTTGATTAACTCCAAGTGGGTGTACAAACGAAAGGACAATCCAGTAGTAGACGAGGCGAGAATCTTCAAAGCTAGGCTGGTGGCTAGAGGTTTTACATAAGAGAAGTGTGTGGACTACAACAATGTTTTTTCACCTGTAGCGAAGATGCTACAATTTGTTTGGTATGTGCACTGTTTGCGATATTTGGTCTTGTTATGGATCAGATTGATATGATTACAACTTTTCTCTACAGACATTTAGATGAGAATATCAACAGAAGACAACTTGTTGGATTTGAGATCAAAAGCAAAGAGAGGTTGGTTTATAGATTGTTGAAATCATAGTATGGAGTGAAGCAAGCTCTTAGTCAAAAGAACACGCGATTTGGTGAGTTCAAGAAGTCACAAGATTTTTTACGAAGTGTGTATGATACTTGTATCTACATGAAGAAGGTGAATGATAATATATTTAATCTCATCATTCTAGTCTTCTATGTTAATGACATGCTCTTCCTCACGAGAGATCAATATGATGTTGATGAATGCAAAAGTAAGTTGAGGTTTGCATTTAAGATGAAGGATATGAGAAAGTTGAAGAGAATATTAAACATAGAGATTCATATAGATCTTCACTAGAAGAGACTATGGTTGAGTCATGACAAGTATGTTTGTCGTATACTTGAAAAGTTTAACATGGTTGATTTCAAAGGAGTGTAACTCTTTTGACAGCACATTTCAAACTCTCTCATGCTGAATGTCTTACCGATGCTTTGAAAAAAAAAAATACTATGTGTTCACTATGAACAAGCCGTAGCCAGCCTAATGTATTTGATGGTGTGCACTAGACCAGACATTGCTTTTGCGATGGGCAAGGTAAGCAGATACATGTCGAATCAATGAAAAGTTCACTACGAAGTAGTGAAATGAATTATGAGATACTTGAAAAGTATTTTGAATTATGATATACTATTTAATGTTTTATTAGACAATGCCAAATTCTTGTTTGTATATGTTGATGCTGACGACGGATAGTATCTAGGTAAAAGAAGATCTACAATTGAGTATGTGTTTCCACTTGGCGATGTAGCATTAGTTTTACATTGTAAAAGTGCGTAGCTCAATCAACAACGGAAGTTGAGTACGTGACAGTAACAGAAATGGAAAATTAAGCTATTAAGTTGGATAAGCTTATCATAGAAATGACATTGAAGCAAGGTGTGGTTAATTTTCATTCTGAAAGCCAAAGTGCTTTATATTTGGCTGTGAATGAAGTCATTGATAGCAAAATGAAGCACATCGACATCAACTACCACTTTATAAGACAAAAAGTGTTTGATAAAATAATTAAACTAGTAAAGATCTACGGAAACTCAATCCAATTGAAGCTTTGACCAAAGTTATTCCTTTGAAAAATTTGAAACAACACTGTGCTATCATGCAAGTTGTGCATGTAGAGCAAATATAGAATTTGATACCATAGTTATTTTAGTTATCTTTTTATATATTTATTTTATCATATGATGATTACGGTTTAGTTCTAGTTAACTCTCGTGTAAAAAATAGATTTATGTTAAATTTCTGTCTAAAATTTCCCGTTGAGTAATAATATAGGTTATATAGATCATTGTTTCCTTAACACGAATTAAAGAATAGATTATTGAGATTAACTTTGGTTAAGAAGTAACCTTAGGTTCTAGGTATTGATAGCTAGATGTGTTGTTGGCATTGGGTTATATACCCCCATGCTTATACTTTATAAGCATTGTATTCGGTTGTGAGAAAACTTTCTATAATTTTTCAGCCGTGGATGTAGCCCTTGAGGGTGAACTACATTATACTAGTGTTTCTTGTTTTCGTATTTGGCTTGAATATTTTTTTGGTTCTACTTTTAACATTCTATTTTTTGAAATATTTATTGGTCTTGAAGAATCATATAAATTGAATAAAACATAGAACAATTCAAAATGTAATCCTTCCATTGTAAACTTATTTTAAAATTTAAGATGAATGAAGGTTTCTGTCGGTTTACTCTCAATTAATTTTGATGCTTGTTACTTACGTATAAAGCTTGCATATTTACTCCACCATTTGGTCAGTTGTCTTAAATAATAAAGATTCAAAAATGTGAAGATGAAACCACAACGAACGAATATTGTTGTAATTCAGTTGAAACCACCAGCACATAAACTGCGATAAGAATATCCGTAAGATCGAAAAGATAATACTTTTGCAGATTAAACGTTTCTATTTAAGAGGAATAATGATCTAAGTAACAATCTTATTACTAACGTATCGTGTTTTGCTGATTTGATTTTGTATTCTATCACTAGTTTCGCAAAGTAGCTTCCCTTGATGCGGAGTATGAAAGCAAAACATTGATGTCGGACGATATACAAACACGCTATTCGAAGCACGTGCACTCAGACTCCATGACAGCATTTTCTACTCGACAAGTTTCTGACAGAAACTTGTCAGAAACTCCGTAGCCCACTAAAGTGACAAAATACAATTCCCTCAGTTTTTCTCATGTACAAAATCTGTCAAACATTGTATTCGTAAATCCAAACGTTGCTGTATCGACAGCTTCAAGGGACTCCAGGGCTTCAATCCTTGTAAACAACTTATAAGCCTTTGGTAAGAGCGGTATGTTTCCAACATCACTGATTTGTTTTGTTTTGTTTTGTTACCTAAACTTTGACAAAATTGCATGTAGTCGTAAAAAACCAAAGCACCAAAAAATTCGAATTATGTTAGACTAAAGATAGATGCAACACAGGTCTGTCTCGTTTGTCTACAGAACTGCCACAGACAAGGTTTGTATGTGAGCCTTATATGTTTCTCTGGGGTGTATCTCATGATCTGTGCAAAACAGCCCTCTTGTCTAGGTAGACTAATTCGATTCATCAAGCTGAAATAAGGCTTCTAAGAGATCGTGAAACAGTGAAAGAAACCGTAAGGACTTGATATGAAGAAAGTAAATAGCAAGTAAATAGAGCTGGTTGGAACGTTGTCAACAACCTCCCACCAGTTGCAGATATGAGACTTGGCTGAATGATTAAATCTCGTATTGTTCGGAGAAGCACTTACAAAAAAGGCCCAATGTTTCGTGTACTGCAAATATTATGTGCGAAGCATAGAGAGTTGCAAAATTCAGAGCTCGTCCTCACATATCGGACTTACATGTTCTTCAGATGCTCCACGCGAGCGGCACGTAGAATGCTTTACCATATTCTATTCCTATCAGGATGATGTCCGGGTCTCACTTATTCTGTTTTAATTTTGTCACCTCGGCTCTTTCAACAATGGTTCTCCACATTCCTCTCGAATCACGCATGAAAACAACGCCTTTGTATGGCGAGGTAATTTCTTTATATTCTCAACGTGTGTTATGAATATACAAGAGTAAGATAACGACAACCCCTTTCATATAGATTATACCGTTTGTATCTAAACAGTGGATGTGACGTGCGTCTCTGATATTCCATGATGAAGACTAGAGTACTGAGCACAGTCTTGTGAAGTCCGCGAAACCCAAACATGGGAGCGTAAACGAAGCAGGACGAAATTCTGTCATCTGCACCTACTGTAGTTTGACTGGCCTCACGATTCAAGATAGTTCAAAACTTTTGAAGACAATGCGGAATCACTTATAAGCATTCACTACTTCAAAATCTTAGAAGATTACCACCTACATCAATGAAATTGTTGCGGACAGAATCGTAAAAGCCAAGGTTTTCCCACTAGTCTGCAAGCATTACAGGCAGGTCGCGAACAGCACAGCGAGGCTGAGGGTTAAGATACCTCTCAGTACATGCACATCAGTTGCTGCACTAGCTGGGGGAGAGATAAATCCAGGGTTGCTGCCCGGAGGTGGGGGCGGAGGCCCAACAGCGGGTAACGCAAGAATGGAGAAGGCTTGAGCCTTTTGGCAGTGCGTTGGAGCTCCACAAATGAAGTAATGCATGCCCGGTTCCTGGATGAAAACCGTAGTGTCACCTGTATCCCACACCTGCAAATAATGGCTGCTGTCGCAGAGCGCGTACATCGTAGAGTTCACTTTCACCACGTTGTGATAATTGGGATTGTACTTGAAATCTGGATCATGCATCCAACAGACCCTTTAGCGTAAGTCAAGTATTAAACTAGCTGAACTGCTGAGGCCTTGAGGTGAATGTCGAACCCCTTCTGAAAGAAATGGTAAATCCGGCTCTTGATTCTGCCGCGACTTTCGAATGTGTCATCATGACAAACGATGCTGACTGGTGGGGTGAAAGATCATCGTGTTCGAAATGGATTTGACAGTTCACATTATAATTTGCTCCTGCAGTATTCGAATTTCTTGACTGAAAAGACGCAATTGGATCAAGGGGCCTGAAAACAGCAGAGAGAGGGGCTGGTTCAACTTACAGAGAGAATCGCCAACATGGATAGTGAAATTGCTGGCCCAGTTAGAGTAGTTGATTGTGCCATTTGGCACCACCCAATTCACCTCCAACTGACCAATGCTGCTGCCACCTACGCTGTACACCGACGCAAGTGCTCCCGGGAAGATAAGCAGAACGCTCAAGGCGACAATTGCAGTGCGCGTCGCCCTGGTTTCCATCGTCGTTGATATTTCTCAAATCTCCAGTACTTCTGCTGGCAAGGAAAACAAGAACGCTGGAAGTTATCGAGTTTTACTCAGATCACTCATGCACCACGATCTAATGATAACATGGTCGCAGGATGGAAAGCTAAGGCGTACTTCAGTGACTTAAACCCATAAGTTGAACGCTTTCGAATACATCTTTCGATCCTCACAGGTGTATGAAGAACCTACTGCCAGCTTTCTGAGTCACTTCGGAAACACGACTGAGAATGGAAAATTTTCTCTTGATTGGATTCCGCTAGCTTCTAATAGTTCCGTTGATAGCATCGAAACCACCCAAAGCCTAGACGCAATGTTATATCTATGAGTATAATATGTATTCTGGTAACAGTCCAAGGCAGCAGGAGACACGGCGACACTTATATAATCCACAATGCAGGGAGAACTAGCGAAAGTCCAATTCTTACGTGGAAGGAAGGTTTACTAGAAGGTTCCAGGGCACTCTGTAACTCGTTCCGCAGGCATTGAGACAGGCAAACCGCGCTTTCGATACATTCCAGACCCACGGTACGAATACAGGAAAATTAGGTGGTTATAATGATGTGACACTGAAGCGAACAACTTTGCAGCAGGTAGCTCAAGTCTATCTATGGGGTCCCTAGTAGACCAGTGTTTATTCGATCGTTCCGAATGTACAGCACAAACTCTAGAAACTTGATGCTCACACATACTGTTTGCCAAGGTGAACCACAGGTGTTTCGTGATGCCCAGACTAGCCCTGTCCAAGACGTACCAGCTCTCACTAAGAACGTTTGAAGAATGCCGATGCCCAGGGGACTTTCTCAAAGGAAGGCAAATCACCTGGACTGGACCTGGAGTGCAGTCCCAGTACGAGCGAAGCACGACACGCCTTGTACTACTCGCCCACCCGGTTCACTATTTCCGCGGACAACAACGGCACACACTTCTTAATAAAAGTGCTGCGCGCTCTCTGAAAAGCTCACACGAAGTTATCATTCTGTCATTGCAAGCGTCCGATACTCTCCAAGCAAGACGAGCGATGGAGCACAAGAAGAGGCTCTCGAGTATCGGAGAGAGGTCAGAACAGAGCAGTGGAAAGCAGAGGCAACAAAACAGTCAAAGTAGGAAACTCTTCAGAGAACACCGCGAGCTTAGCAAGACGAGCAACGAAATGCAGCTACATTGGCACAACAAATGTCACGACAAACTGGCAACTCGTGTTCAGATGCAGAAAGACTCATGAGCTGACTCCCGCACGCACTCACTCGCTCACTCGCTCACTCGCTCACATGCGCGCATGCGGTACAGCTCGTACGAAAAGCTCCCGGAACAGAATCGGCCGCGGTAATTTTACCTCCCGTCCCGCGCTGCAGCTCGCTCAAGCTCAGCTCAATCGCGGCTCTGCTCGCTCTCGTCCGTCGCCCCCAAATGCTCAATTGGCGCTCTCGTGATGTATCGCATGCCTTCGGAGTAATTGTAGAGTGGCCGGGTTATGTCTGACTGGCAGACTGACGGGCCGCTGCAGAAGCGTAAGCTTTTTGTACGTCGTGTGCTGGACGACATTCGCAGTGCCTGCAAGTATCATGCCCGCTCTGATCTGGCCTGCCAAAGAAGGCGCGGCGCTGCACCGTACCTCCCTCTCCCGCTCTGCATTACGCTCCCGGATACGGATACGCCCGAGATTTCCTTTTCCGAATCGCGACGATAACGTACGTACGATCTGCAGAGCGTCGGGGTGGTTTTCTGTCGTCCCGGTCAGGAAGACGGGCACAGCCGGTGGCCGAGGCCTCGTCGCCTCTGGAGGGAGAAAATCTCGAGGTATATTAGAAGGAGCATTCGGTATGGAAGACATTGGGACCAGATCTGTTGGCGATGTCGACTTGCCTTCGTCTCGGGGTAAAGGAGGGAGTTAGGATTCGAGAAGAGAAGAGTGAGGAAGCGAAAGCTCACTCGAGATGCTTGGGTCGTGCAACTCTACTGTCGACGCATAAGTAGTGAAAGACTTGTACGTACAAGAAATGCGAAGAGATGGCTCCAACGATCACTGGAGCTTACCGACGATATGCAACAAAAAATGCAGGGGAGGAAACAAATGCGACAAAATCCATCTGATCGGAATCTTAACGTAAGTGAAAACTCATTCCTTGGAGGAGATCAGATAATCAATGATACGGCTGCAAGGGCTCAGAGAAGAAAGCTGCTAAAAGTAAAGTCGCATTGTGTGCTTATGTATATCAAATGGTAACTAATGAACAAAACCGATTTCTCACAACTCAAGAGCGAGTGATGATTTCTTCATCAGTGAATGCTTACACACGTCCTTTTCATGTTACTTACTGAATTGCTTTTGGCATCATTTTGCGGACACATTTAAGATACCACCTTTTCTGGAAGACTGAAATATTTACCCCACATATTCTTTCTCGTAGCATGTCATGCCACGCCTTTTGAGCCGGCGAGATGTCTTGTAACTGTTGGGTTGCCATTATGTCGACCAACCATACTGCCATCATCACCACAAGTGAAAATATAACTGCAATAAACTCACGAAGCGAGAACTCGGACCAAACCGGGATATGGTTGAGACGATGTTGAAAACTGCAGTCCCAACACGAGCACATGTACGACGACCATGTGCGCCAAAAACTCGGCAAGAAAATAAAGTGCAATTATAATCACTCGCGAGATAACAGTAATATCGCCTTGGAATATTTGAGAACGATTCGACTTCAACTGATTACCAAGATTGGGAACAACATTGCAACTTCTCCAATTGCACCCTCAGAAAGCAATAGATTGTGATATGTGGAAATAATTGAAATATGAACTAAACGGATGAGGGTAGATTATATTTTGGAAATAAGTTGATTACAAGTAAAAAGTTACTACAATTTTTAAATTTTTAAATATAAAATACATACTTTCTAAAGTTGCAGGTTCGAGACGGAAATGAGAAAAACCTCGTGGATGAGAGACACGGACACGGTTGCTTCCACCGCATGGCAATGTGGCGGCTCTTCTTTTTCCGTAATGGTACGAAGCCCCAGACAAGAATGTGGTTCAAGAAAAAAACACAACAGAGGCCTTAATTCACCAAATTTTCCAAATAATTCTCAAAGGGAAATACTAAAAAATGAAATGTAAGAATATAAGAAGCAGGAAAACTGTCATCAAGAAAATCAAAGGGAGAGCGAAAGTTCTAGCCTCGTTCCTACTTACTGAGAGGACGTCCTAGATTTAGCACGTAGAAGTGGACGTCCCTAGATTGTCCATCCGTGCCCTCTTGGGCGTCCTGTCTGCACGAAATCCGTTACTAAAAAGACACAACCAAGAGACAGGGAAACTACGGGCCCACCGTATGCTCCGTGGATGTATCAGTATATGAGAAAGGGAAGAGAGGGAATGAAATTGCGATTACTGACCATTTATAGTTCTGCCCTGATGATTTCTTTCTGTCAATTCTGCAAATTCTCTAGCAATATGCTCTCGCAGGAACGGAATCGATACTTTGAGGATGAAAGTTCATGCAGACCACAGTTCTGGGATGTGAACCGTCGATGTTGGATCTTGCATAAGGTAGTGAGCACTGGCAAGATGTTGGTGTCCAGGTTCTGAAAGGGCCATGCTCTGGACTCTGGACTCTGTGGCTCGTCGTTCAGGAACCTCTGTGGTCCCTCCCACCTGGTTTGTCTTTCAACTGAATTTGTCTCCTTGGAGTCGAGATTCACAATACCTACCGCACCTGACCCTCGTATCAGAAGGTACGGCACTCTTGAAAACCAGATTCGGAAAATCTCTCCTCTGAAATCCTAACATTAAGACCGCAAGACTGCTCGTGAAACGTTCTCAAGCAAGAAATGCCTGACTCTGTATGACAGCCTGTGTGTCCTGAGGGGAATTTCTGAACCACGGAGCACAGACCTGACATCCTTTAGGGTAGGGAGGCACTGACCAAAAATATTTCCGAATGTGGTCCTTCTGAGCGGTTCCACTTTCTTTGACGGTACGTCACCCTTATTGGTTGGCAAAGTGAGGGTGATTTAACGAAGAGTTCGCAAGCAACTCTCAATACTACTATGAAGGTAATTCGAGGTTGATGTGAGGTATGGATGGTGTTCCTGAAGCTCATTTGTGCAATTGCTCTCTGTGTGAATCCATTCATCCCATACTCTTTAACTAGAAGATGGTTCGATCATGAAGTATCATCGAGGATAGCTGCCGCCATTTTACGGTGTAACACAAGGAAGTCTTGTTCACTAGAAATACAACGATGCCTTCCCAGCTCATTGATTGCTTCTCGATCGGGCTCAAAATCTTGTTAGAAGAAAAATCACAGTCAGGAATTTACTATCAACATGTTAATACGCCCTTTGTTGGAAGATCAACATTTGGACATGTGATTACTACATACTTCTTGAAGCATTAGCAGAAATTCTCATTGTTGAGAAACTTTCGAGAATATTTAGCTGGAGAGGTCCAGCTGAAAACGTGGTGATGTCCGATGTGGCATGAGTTTCAAAGTCCATTCAAGTTCAACCCACAGTTCACCGAAGAACTCGAGAAGCTGCTAGAGCTTATGGAGTCTAAATGGGCCAAATATACCAAACCCTGGACAAGGTCTGTAAGTCCAGTGCAGTTTAGTACAGAATCATAAAGATAGTCGGTGACACCTGACGGGCGTCAAACTCGCAAGCTGAAGGCGGCGGAACGACCCCGAGGGCGGTAGGATGTGGACCACCGGCAGCTCTGGAGTCTTGACTCTGGAAGTACTTCTTGGCTCCTAAATTTGGGATCTCCATACTCAGTCATAATGGTGCATCAGAAGTTCGTTCTGAGTGTCGGATGAGGTCGCAGTTCTCATTTCTCTCCTCTTTCTCTTTTGCTCCTTTGCATGATCCTTTCCTTCTTTGCCGTCGCCGGTTGATTTGATTTGATTTGACATGATGAGCTCACACGGCACTGGTTTTTGTTCCATTTTGTTATTTTACCATCTTTTCATCCCCTCGTTGTTCAGGAGAATGATTGAGAAGCTCGAAACGAATGTATGAACAAACACGAGATATTATGGTTGCAGTGTTTCTTCCGGATCAGCATGCTATTCTGACGATGAGTCAAACCAGTGGAGTATGAACATGCAAATATGCTTTATGCAACACAAAAATCAATCTTTTGGGATAATCATATCGCACGTCTGAAGTTCAAAGTACTGTATTGTCCAGTACACGCGATTGCACAAATTCTCAACTTCTATACTGCAGTATACTTCATCCAGTTTAAAGTCTACTGTGCGGCAACAGGCCACGTAAAGGGTTTATTAGTTCGTGCAAATGATCATAACTACACCATTGACTTTTTTGGTTTCTTTGTTACTATTGTTGCTTGTGTACACAATCAAAGATCTGTAGTATATATATGCCACTGTAACATCTTTCTTCTCATCATAATATTATGTATCAATGTCATAGTATAATATTTTAGATCATCATACTTATTATAAATTAATCATAATAACCCTTCACTAGTGATTCGATTCTAAAATCATAATACATTAGTACAACATGGATTTCTAAAAACTAAAATAAAAAAATATAACGTTATGATGTTAACTCGTTAATAGTTACATGTAATACCAACAATGTAACATTCAAACTAGTTTGTACCAATCTCATCAAGTACATGTTCACTATCAATTGGATGTCACTATCAAATCACATTTCAAGTATGATATATGTTCTTCTGTAGAATAGAAAGTAACAATATATAAATATAAATATGTATAAAATTCAAACAAACATGCACAAATGCAAGACTTACATGATGTTATGATTTTTTTTAAAATTTTTTATATGGAACACAACCATATCAAAATTTATTCCAAAGTATCACAACCCTCAAATAAGAAAGTTTTGTAGGGTAAACATTCATGCAATTTTGTAATTTAGAAAGCAACGTATTTCTAACAGAATACTACGATAAACATAATCAACCTGAAAAAGTTTTGAAAATGAAGATCTGATTCTTTAAACTTTTTCAAATTCAAAATTTCTTACATGATATGATCATTGTGATTTTGAATCTTAAAATCGTCAAAAAAAATCAAACATGATGTTTTTAAATTAAATTTTTGAAATAATGTGTTATTTCATTGTATAAAAACTAATTATTTTATAAATGTTAAATTTTAATGATCATTTTCAAAGAGTCACAAAATTCGAATCTTTCAATTTCCTAAGAGTTTTTTCAACGCAAAATATTTTAGTAATCTTTTCAATTTGTTTCAATCTTTTCAATTAATTTTAAGGAAAAATTTTAACATTGAAAGTCTTAAAAATCTCAATTGTAAAACAAATTATCAAATTTTGAACTTTAACATTCTTGAAAGATTAAATAACTGTGTTATTTAATGCATAAAATCTACTAAACACTGAAATTTAAGATTTCAAATTTTTTGTTTACTTGAAAAAATACACTGAAGATGTTTTTGAACTGATTCTCAAGATGATCAAATTAGATTTATATTGTCAAAAACTACTCATAACCATGATATTGTATGTTTGAAAGATTCAAGTGTCAATTGTTGTTTAAATAAATATTTTTTAAATAACATATGATATATATAAATAAAGATATTAAATTATATCTATTTATACCAAAGCAATGCAATGTAATCATCAACAATTTCGCAATTACTGGATGATCGAAGCGCAAGTATTCTTGTCACTCTACTCCAGAGTCGGCAACTTGTTGCAACGGTTGGGAAGAAAACCTCATCCCAACTTCACAAAATGGGCTGAGAATCACGGTCTCATCGACCGGCTCAAAAAACGATCCAACAACGTCGTGGTGGTCCTCTATGTTGATCATGCAGATCTTCAATGTGACCATCATGCAGGGAAGGAAAGTAGGAAAGATGCTAAAGTCCTCCGAGAAACAATAAAGCGAGTGTAATTACCTCCGAGTGCAACAATTCACTTCTCATTCCCTTTGACACCGAACGAAATCAGCCACTGAAGGTTCTTCCAAAGTAGTACATACGTGTTAGCTCATTATCCTATTTTCATTCTTTCTTTAGGTCGGTGCAAGCTCCACACAGGAATCCTGAAACGAAACTACTGGACTGGAGTGACAGTACACAGATCATGGAATTTTAAGTGGCAGTGGCCGCAAACTGAGCTTTTGTCGGAGTCTGTACATGCCCGGAGTATCCTATTCAAAAGCAAACCAGAAGAGGCTATTCGACCTCCTTTGCCTCGTAAATGAGCACCACGAACTTCAAGCACGTGAAGGAACAAGTGACCACTTTAGCAATAAAACATCTAATACTTGCTGCTGCGAACATATATCCGAATACATTGTGCAGACCTGAGAGGAGATATATTGCATGAGAACTCTGTGGTTCCCACAAGTTTAGACGGCGTTTTGTAAGCTCTATGCCCGGAACGTGGATTAGGGTCTCGCGTGTTAGGCTATATGTTTAGCATAAAATGGAAAGTTTTCTCCACTCCTAAATCTGTGAGGTATAACGGTGATGAAAGCAAGTCAATCTGATCTGTCCTCGTAAAATTTGACATGTACCACGACATTCACTCATAACTTGATGTTTTGTAAGTGCAGCACGTTGTGAAGTTTAGGGCCTAACTTTGATACGATAGAGGATTTGGTTCTCAAATCTCTAAGAATCAATATCTAAACAGTGACGTCCAACAGCTTTGGAAGTGCTTTCTCATTAGAGAAATATGGTTGCCAGGGCTGAGTATGGAGGCGAATACCGTGAACTCAAAAAGCATGGTTTTACTCACCTTCTGGGAGCTAATCCTCAGATGAGAATATCACAAACATCATCGGACTGCTGTTTGCGCAACAGATTTGGTAAAATATACCAGTTCAAAGACAAGAACAAATTCATACAGTGAGATTGCGAAATTCATGACTGAATTCTGGCAAATTTGTCATCTTGAGCGTACACTGGTTTAGCTCTGGATTTATATCCGATTGCACGTACTTTGGAGAAAGTAAATTGTTAGATCCGACAAAAAGCAATGATCGATATCTGGCAAATTGGCAAATTTGAGATTTTCCTACAGAAGGAAAGGTCATAGTTTTGAGGCACGCAATTAGGAACATGTTGTTTGAGTGCTGAATACGCCAAGTATCATCTTGCTTCAAACAAACTCTATCGACTCTCTCCACTATCTGAAGCTCATGAGAAGGCGGATAGGCATACGGGTAATGATCTTTTCAACTGATAGTTGCTGCGAAATGTTAACTATCGATATTTCCTAAAATTATATATTCTTGTGATGGTTTTGTGGAAGCTAACATAATATGATTAAGATAAACTTCGCTGGCCAGATATCTAAGATTTAGCTCGAAGAGTTGTACGTGCCAGAGCCTGATACTTCAAACAAGAAGGAAATTGGTGATTATTTGACTTAGGACATGAGAAGGGATGTGATACACGTCGACTGCAAAAACTTTTGCCCCATCTTCAGTGGGTTATCTAAGAGCAAGTTGGAGGGCAAACAAAAAGCGACTGCCCGATAAAGACATTTGATAATGAGCGAGTTATTTAGCATGTTCAAGAAGCAGATGTCTTTATAGGTAAACCGCAGACTCATCTCTTATACATAGTGTAGAAACGCCAGATCAAATTTTCAACGATCCCTCAAGGCTTGAGTCACTTGAATGTCGACAACTGATCTGAAGGCTTGCTGGTACACAGTGGTGTGACTGGAAAGGAGCCAGTGAATTTATTACTCATATGAGTTAGACAAGAGTGCAATAAAAGTTCTTGTCATCTTGGCTGGATGTAGTGAGAAAACAATAAAAAGACATGTAGCTAAACGTTGGAATAACATTTAATTTGAGATCAGAAAAAGAGTCGTAGATAGGGAATAACGTGTAATTGACGGAGATGGTTTACACTAAAATACACATGATTGAGATATATTCAATGTGGCAGGCATGCCTGCAGGGACATAGAGGATGCTATTCTAATTTTGTCTTTGCAAATGCATAACACTTCACTGATGTGCAACTTTTAATGGCTATTTAGGAACCATAGTCACCTCCTCAGTCACAAGCGACTGGATTATCTTTGAACATATCTTCCACATATTAAAGTGAGTGCGCTTTATTGCCGCAGTTGTGAGTCTTAGCAAAAGTTTGACCGTGGCAACTAGTCTCTCTTAATTTTGTGGATATTTTTCCATAACTGCATTTGATTTTGAGAGTCAGCTTACAACGACTGACCTCAAGATAATTGTAAAATTAGCATTCAAAATATCTCAAGGAAAATCAGGTCAGTCGTGGCGATTGAGAACTAGAATATGTAGGCTGAACTTCTATGTTAGAGATCTCCACTTCAATGTATGGTGCTGGCTCCAATTCACTGTTTTTCTTGTTCGCAACAAACCATATCGTGGTACATTAGAGCTCTTGCTAGAATGAATACGCCTGCAGCTGTTTGGATGATATATATTTACGCGCAAAGAGATATCAAATTAAAGCTAGTTGGTATTAGATCATTCTTTGTATACAAAATTTCTCAAGAGTCATCCAATCGAGGCACGGCATTACCATGAGATCAAGAGCCTAATCAGCAATCTAATGATGAATGAGGACGATGTTCCAAATTTACATTTTCTGGACGCCACAATCGAGGAAACTTCGAGAAAGCACACTTCCGTGGTCTTACTGCCTGAGCGCCATGAAAAATCGGATGCAACGATTGATGGATACGACGTGTCAAAGGGATCGGATGCGAGTACAGCTTCTGAAACTCCGATGTAACAGTCATGAACATCTAGAGTGACTCGAAGTTGCCAGTTTCGTTTTATCTGCATTATTTGGCAT